TGCTGCAAATGATTATATGCACTCAAGGGTGTTACATCTCATTCCCAATCAGTTGTCCATGGTCACAGAAATGTGCAGAGAGCAATAGAAATATGCAGTGATATAGAGATCATGTCCTGGTCTTGTTCATGCAGATGCAGCAGTGGTATCTGAGCAGCACATTTAGCACAAATGGAATGCTCATTATATCAACTTGGCTAGTAGACAGAATCACAAAACCAGCCATGTCAGGCTGAAAAAGTAAAAGATAATGTCGCTTGCCTCTAACTACTGTACTGTTCCATGTATGGACTTCTTGTCTCACCAGCTATACTGCTTTTTCCAAGGTGAGGTCTTTCTTAGATTGCAATATGTCTGATAGGGATTCATCAGTAAGGCCTACTACATCTGTTTGATTTCTTATTAATTTTGCTTTAAGACCTTAATTTTTACATCCTTCAACCAGCCTGAAGAGGCTATTAATTAAACTAGCTTCTAGTCCATCATTTTCTGGACCATTTTGTTAATTTGGCTCTTCCCAGAAATTTATTTTGAGTTGAAGTAGTTGTTGAAAGCTTTTAAGACTTCAGATTTAGCTAATGTTTCAATAATATTATCTGCTCCTGTTCCTTTGGTGTGATGCATTGACTTATTCAGTTTCAGACTTGCTATGAAATCTTTAAGTAATTCTACGTTTCAAGAATCTTTTTGTCCAGATTTAAATTTGATTGGTCCTTCCATGAAACTTCTCAGGTAGTGTATATCAGATAGCATTCATGGCTTCTCTAAACTTTTGGGCATTTTAGATGTTTGAAGTTTTCCTTTTAACATTTGAAGTTTTCTCGCCCTGCTCTGCATTTCACCGACTCCTGCTGTGGAAATTGTACTGCTGTGGAGAATCACTCTGCTAGATTAGGTTTTCTTTCTTAAATAATGCAAAACTATTGAAAACTGCTTTACTTAAATCATTTCAATATTGCATCACTCTCTATTTCCAGAGCATCAAACATTGGCAACAACTTTCTACCTTGCAGTCCCACATACAATGAAATTGACCTCAAAATCAGAACTGCACATTTTTTAAAAAAAATTTGTAAGATAAACTGGATTTCCCCATGCTGCCTGTCCATTGATACACTATATTGATTCTTCACCCTGTATTAAGGGCTGTTTACCAGATTTCCAGTTTCTAGATTCTCTGACTTGACGTTTGTAATTGCTAGATTGTGATTCTCTTCACAGTGCAGCTCAGCACTGTGGTACACTATGAAGGCCTCTGTGTATTGATGTCCTGACTTGCTCTGCATCCACTTTTTCCCTGGAGCAGATCTGGATGTGTTCTACTGTATCTTTCCAAGCTCTGCAGTTTAGCACTGCATTTTTCAGTCCATTTAAAGTTGAGTTCGATGTTTTCTGGAGTTCAGGCACATGCACAAGGTCTTCCTTATGCTTGCTGTCAGGTGTCTGATTATTAGTCTCTTGCAAAATTACATTTTCCTTCCCACCAGGCTTCCCGCTCCTAGGAGCAGCACGAGATTCCACCCACTAGGCACTGATCCACCCTACAATGGAAAAAATGCCGCTGGCCTGGTAAAATTATTTTTAATGAGACATGTGGATGCCTAAATATGTTTACTCTGTGGTGGTGAGCCTGTATGAAGCCAGTCCTACCATTGATCAAGTTCCCTGATGGCAAGGCATGGTTGGGGAACCAAGTTGCCACGGGTCCCCACTATTTTTATACACACCTACCCCATCACGATCCCTCTTTGCGTGGGCTCATAAAATTCTCCCGACACTTGACTGAAAACTCAAGACTCAGTAGCTATGTTTTCATGCTCAGCCAAGGACCTATACATAACAGTTCAATGTTCGTGGTGCTATGATTGGTAAAGGCAATGTTTCCAGACAATATGGTTGATTATCCAAACACCCTTTGATGACTGTTCAGTGAAACTGAAGCAGATAAGGGATAGTCGTGGAGTCATATGTCACAGAAACAGACCCTTTGGTCTAACATGTCCATGTTGACTAGGTTTCCCAAACTAAACCAGTCCCATTTGCCTACATTTTGCCCATATCCCTCTAAACCTTTCCTATTCATGTATCTGTCCAAATGTCTTTTAAATGTTGTAACTGTACCTGCCTCTATGACCTCCTCTGACAGTTCATTTCATATATGTACCACCTTCTGTGTGAAAATATTGCCCCTCAGGTCCCTTTTAAATCTTACCCCTCTCTCCTTAAACCTATACCCTCTAGTTTTGAACTCCCCTATCCAAGGCAAAGACCTTTGCTATTCACCTTATCTATGATCTATGATTTTATAAACCTTTTCCAGATAAAAGAGCCCCAGCCTCTTTATAACACAAACCCTCCAGTCCCAGCAACATCCTTGTAAATCTTTTCTGCATCCTTTCTAATTTAAAAATATGTTTCCTATGGCAGGGTGACCAGTGCTGTATGCGGTACTCCAAAAGTAGCCTCAATAGTGTCCTGTACAGCTGCAACATGACATCCCACCTTCTATACTCAAATGCTCTGACCGATGAAGGCAAGCGTGCCAAATACCTTCTTCACTGCCCTGACTACCTGTGACACCACTTTCAAGGAACAATGTGCCTTAACCCCTGGTCCCTCTGTTCAACAACACTCCCCAGGACCCTACCATTAACTGCATATGTCCTGCCCTTGCTTGTCTTACCAAAATGCAAGACCTTGCATATACCTAATCTAAACTCTATCTGCTGCTCCGTGGTCCACTGGCCCAGCTGATCAAGATCCCGTTGTGCTCTTAGATAACCTTCTTCACTGTCCACTATACCAACCATTTTGGTGTCATTCGCAAACTTACAAACCATGCCTCCTATATTTTCATCCAAATTATTTATAAAAATGACAAACAACAGTGGATCCAGCAGCGATCCTTGTAGCACACTGCTAGTCATAGGCCTCCAGTCCAAAAAGCAACTCTCTACTACCACCCTCCCAATTTTGTATCCAACTGGCAAGCTGTGAAGCCTATGCTAACCAGCCTAGCATGCGGAACCTTGTCAAAGGCCTTGCTAAAATCTGTATAGACAATGTCTACTGCTCTGCCTTCATCGATATTCTTGGCCACATTCTTAAAAAACGGAATCAAGTTTGTGAGACACAATTTCTACGCACAAAGCCATGCTGACTATCCTCAATCAGTTCTTGCTTTTCTAAATACATGTAGATCCTGTCTCAGAATCCCCTCCAACAATTTACCCACCACTGACGTCGGGCTTAGCAGTCTGTAGTTCACTGACTTTTACTTGCAGCCTTTCTTAAATAATGGCACTGCATTAGCTAACCTCCAGTCTTCCAGCACCTCACTGTGGCTGTAGATAAGTGTCTCTGCTACGGTCCCCACAATTTCTTCCCCAGCTTCCCACAATATCCTGGGATACACTTGATCAGGTCCCGGGGACTTATCTACCTTTATGCTTTTTAAGGCCTCCAGCATTTCGTCCCATGACTATTTTAGCTGAATGTTCCAACATTCTGCATAGCAGTGCCCAAAAAATGTATGACATGAATGTGCCTGTCACATGGAGAAAACACCTCATCCAATATTTTTTCAGCCATCTGTGTAATAGCAACTCTGCATAATTCGGCACTTGTTTGTCCTTGGTGCTGAGTGTTGCAATGCTGGTGGGATGGGGGAGGATTTAAATTTCAAAATTCAAAAGTCTCTGCAATCAATCACAGTTTAAAAGAAATGCAACAGCTACAGATCCAGAAAATTGATGAAAACACAGCACTATAAATTCAAAAGCCTTGTGAAAATACAAACCTGTCAGATCTGATCATAAAACAGGTTCTGAACGAAGTACTAAAATTTTCCACTAACTACTTTGGAAACAATTTGCAAACCTGAAAGTCAGGAAAGGACTCAGTAGAATCTGATTTGCTATTATAAATATTTTTTAAAAATGTAAAATCTTCTAATTTACTGGAGCAACTGGTTGGCAAATCTTTCTTCAAAAGTAAGAGAATTTGGATTGTACTGATCAGTTTAGATGGAACAGTAGCTGAATTGTAAGCTCTGGGAATGGCATTCTTGATGCACCACACAGACCAAAAAGACAAAACCCATTTACAAAAGTTCAGCATCTCAGCCAGAGTTTAATTCATATTTCCTTCCAATTTGCTTCTTAAAATTTGTAATAATCTGCAAATATTTTCTACTTGTAAGCAGAGGAGCAAGAAATTTCAAGCAAGTTTTTTTTTTTGAAAGCTGACCAAAATCTCAGAAACAGGTTTGCGGCAGTCTCCTAAATTGGTACATCTGGAAATCCAACAGCAACAATCGTTTTATAATTATAGGCTACAAAAGCCCATTAATGAACTTTTCATGAAGGAAAAGAAGTCTTATCTTTCAAAAAAAAAAAACAATGACATAAACAAACCTTTTTCCACAGTCTTCAAAGGATTTGAAGCAAGCTCCTAAATTGCAACTGACAGCAAGCACTAAAGGCAGAGCATAGTGCCAGAGCATACAGTAATCTAATCAGAAACCATGCTGGCTTGGCCAAGCTCCACTAACTCATGTAACGTTTGTTAGGCCGTTGTCCAATTTCTTTGAAACCCTGTAAATATTATTCAAAAACAACAAATTTCTGAGGGGTCGTCCAGTGCCAACTTCACATTAGTTTCATTTACGACAATAATGGGTGCACGTTTAGTGGCACAACAGCCATGTCAACAACAGCCTATGGTTTACATGAGCTTGTTTCATCAAGCTAACTCAATATGAGCTAAAAGATTATGATTCCATTCAAGATAGGTAGAGGGAAAAAAAATGCAAAAAACTGACTTGACAGGCTTCAATACTGAGCCATACCTTTTTGTACTCTAGAATAAACTTGCAATTAGCTGCTATATACCTTTTAAAATAACCTGGAACTTTTCTCCCCCATTTCAACTGACCCGTTTCTTTGTACTCATTTTGACAAGATTGAAAATGTCAACAAAATAACAGCTCCGGTTCTTACTTGGGATGTATCATGATTAAAGATGACAGCATTCAAGTCCCCACAGTTGTAATGCTTGATGAGGTCCTCTGTTGTGTAAGGGGCTTGCAAACTGCCTGCTCGGAGGCTTTCATGTTGCAGCAGAGTTTGGTTTAAAGCAAAGAGGACCTGTAATGACACAAGAATAAAACAATTATGAAGAATACTACCAAGTTGGAAACAGATGGAATTTAGAACAGCATGGGTCGAGGGTGCATAACAATTTAGGCACAGTCACATCCCCATACAGGGTTTAATAATGAAGCTGTGTTTCTATTTTAAATAGGCAAAATGTTATGCATGATGTGAAATGTTATGCTAGGAATGAGACAATTCAGGAATCATTTTCCGTACACATATTTTTCTCCTCTCTTCATCAAAAGATGCTGGACACTGATCATCTCTTTTTATACCATCCAGGCATCAATTTTTCAAGGGTGAGCCCAGATAGTGAGTTTTGGAAGGGAGGAGCTACTAAATTCTGTGATGGTCCATTTGCTGTCTGAACCTAATGATGACAAACTGGATGACTTGTTGTAACATCCTATCTCTACAATTGCTAAGCATATTATTACGTAACGATAGAGAGTGTTCTGCAAAAAAAAGTATATAATAGACTTGCAACAATGTTTCAATAATGTACAAGAGGAGATTTAAGTCCTAAAATTTCCACAGCACAACTATAGCAGAGTTGGACCTCTATCAACATTCAGGTAGCTGACTTTACCAGACGTTGCAGGTTCATCTAATTTATACAGGCAGAGCTATGTATGCTATTTAAGTACAGCTTATCAACAACATATCTAATACAATAGTACAGTATACTATAATGCAGCTGCCAAATTGTCCATGAACAGAAAATGGATAAAAATTAGCTGCTGGGGAAAATGAAGGGGCAGAGTAATAGAAACCTAAGGAATTAGGTGGAAGATACTTAGGACAAGAAGCCAGAAATAGGATAAAGCAAAAAAAAACTGCTTTTGATTAATGAGGAAATGCAGCAATGGAGGAAGCAGGCAATGTTTGGAACAAGGATGACAATCAGTTTGAAGAAATGAATATGAGATTTCAGGCATCCAAACTAACATGTCCTTCTGAAAAAGATTAGGAACAAGAGAAACATGGTATTTGAAAGCAGTTCTGTGGGTCTGCCAAAAATGTGCTTTACGCTTTTTGTAGGAGGCTATTTTGGCAATGAGTGCCACCTCTTCAACTCTCAGGACAGTTTTACAGCACAAGAAAAAAAAAACTAAATGCTTCAGCAGGACAGCCAAGGTAAGCCCCTTATACATGTTTCATTCCATTCATTAGCCTCATGGGATTAGAAGAGTCAGACTTGAAAGCAGGAGGTAATAATCGGAAACAGATGTTCTAGTCCGAGGCTCCCAAATCTACTGATTCACTTTGTTAGCACCTAGCTTGTATTTGAAGAATTCTAGATGCACGTTACATTTACAACGAGGCACCAAAGAACCATTTGAAAAGACCTATGGCACATAGTGACGGCCCCAGCATAGCCCTACATAATTTGCATTACCAATAACCAAGAAGGATTCAAACTTCAACTTTGGTGTATCTCAGTTACACAATGAGTTCAAAGTCCTGTAAATTTCAGTACCTGGGGCCAGAACCACAACATTTTTGCACCAAAACCATGTTGAAATTAAACATCCTGACACATTCTGTCAAAGATAAGTTTCAAGACTTTTTTTTTTAAAGTAATACTTTGCTTTGAGTTCGTTATGGAGAGATTTTAATTTTGTTAAGTTTACTTATACTTTCTTAAGATCTTTGATGGTCCCAATGTTTTTCACTGCACTACCAAGAGTAAAACGTCAGGTTCAGTTTTTCCAAGTCATTTCATCACCTTTTTGGCTCAACACAGTCAAACTTCTATGGCAACAACCTTCAGGTTGCTCCTTCAGGTCAGTTGTACGTTGCCACCATCTTCACTTTACTCATGGCCCTTTTAACCCTCAGTTCTGAACACTGTCAGTCACTTCATTGACCCTGCTTTCTTCTCCACTCTCTATTACATCTCTTGCACGTAATTTATACTTCATGTCAAATACTATTTTTCAGGAAGGTAACAATGCACAGATGAAAGATTAAACAAATCAGAACAAAATCAAAGCACTAACTTTACACTTAAAAAAGAGCTGTCTGGGATATCGCCTGAGGATGTCACTGTTGTGGATTGTCCCTTTCATTCTACAGGCCAGAACAATGTAAGACAACAAACAAATAACTCAGCATAACACTCTTCAAATGTACAATGTCAGAGGCATTTTCAAATTGAAAGACTTTCTCTTATGGACGGGGAAGGCTCATTATTCTACAGAAAAGTCTGGAGATGAGGTCATGGTGACTCCTGTGCTTCTTTATACTTTGGAAACTTGGCTAACTTGCAGCAAGCCATTCAAAACACTGTAGTACCACCAGTCATGCCTTCAAAAAATCTTCCAAATCTAAAGCAAGAAAGGTGGTTTGACACCAGAATCCTCTCCCAAGCCAGAATGCAAAGCATTAAGGCATTCATCACTCTAAATCAACCCCACTGTAGTTTATATGTTTGACACCAGTCTCACAAAGCAGTTGCTCTACTAGGATCTTCATTGGAACAGGGGACTTCCAGGAAAACGACAGGAACACTTTTGGGATGTCCTCAATGTATTCCTGAAGAAATCAAATATACCAGTTGACTCATGGGTGTCTCTGGCTTAACTGATCAAGGCGGAGAACGTTCATTCTAGAGGATGTTGTATGAGGTGATGGTTCTGCAAGGTTAATGTTGGAGACTGCACTGAGTTCCATCCAACTGGGTGACGTCATATAGCAGTGGTGGGGGGACGGTGGGTTCAGAAATCAGGAGAGAACAGCCCTGGGTCCTGAAGTGGACAAATGCATCATATATGTCTCCGATTGCCTCAGTGACAATGTCTAACTAGCTAATATAATTTGTAGATAATTGCTATATGCAATAAAGTACATCATGCTAAAAATCACTGGTGGTTGCTCTGCTACCACTGTAAACTAAGTAGGCTGTTTAACCAGTCAAGAGAAGACAACTGATAGTGCAATCTTTCTACCCACAGTTACCATAGAAGGCAGCGAACACATCAAAACACACAGAAACACACAGAGATGATGTCGATGAGTTGGAGAAAGACAACAAACCTCCCATCAATTTGTCTAACTGACCCTTCAAGTACCATCAGCTCCACTTGTGGCAAAGTCTTCAGATTGTGCATTGGACATGTCAGCCTCTCAGACCCTATCATACTGGATTGGAGGCAAATCATTCTTAATCCCAATGGGCTGGCTGCCAAAGAAGAATTATCTGGGTTTTGGCATGTTAGTCTGCTGCTGCTGCTGGTAAAATTGAGCCAGAAATTCATGACACTGTTGTATCTTGGAAATGGTATACGGTTAGCTGAAGGGCACCAGTGCATCTTGGGAAGAGTTGCTGTGGACTGCTTTGCCTTGAAGGGTTTATCAGAAAAGGCAATGTGCAATGTTTTGGAGGAATAATGCAGCCTTCCTAATCTGTAAACAAGCACATCACCATAATTGGAGAGAAGCCCTATGGCCATCAGTTCTGGTTCTGCCAACTGTGCTGCGTTGTGGTAAGAGATTGGTTCGTTCTGGGATTTGCACCAATACTATGCATTTGTGAAGTTAATTCTGATAACAGGATATGCTGTGCAAGCATTCGAGGTTTACCTTCATCTTCACAGTTTAAATTATATATTTGGCTTCTCAAATCTCCAACATTATTATGCAGGGTGGATGCACACCCAACGCAAAGTTGTCAGAGGTTTGCTGAATCACTGCCATATTGCTCCTGTGTGGTAATACATGTTCCAGAGGCAAACCTGCGTGATCTGATTCATAACTTTGACATTCACCACATCATTGCCGGTGAGGAAGAAAAGTCATCTGCCTTGTTTGAGCTTTGTAGATTTATTTAATTCAGTCACTGGTCTTGAAACGTTTAAAAGAAAACAAGGCCCAAAACCTTTCCCAACTTGAACTAATATTTCATCATTTATTTATAGAGCTTGAGAAGAGACTTTCAAACACACTATGAGACCTGTTCAATTATGATGGACAGTTACTGAAAGGCAGGAAATCACTGGTACAATCAAATTGAACCTGTTTAAATTTATGAAAACAGTTTGCAATGTCCAAAGAGATTAAGAGAAAAACCAAATTTTCTTGGGCAATCCATTGATGTGAATTGATTTCCTGTTTAACTTAGACAGAGACCAGCAAAATCCACAAGACGTTTACAGAGTCAATGTTGCAGCAGGCCCCCTCAATAAGGAACTGGATCACTGCAAGCTTTGAGATCCAGATCAGGCAAGCAGCTTAAACATTCTGTCAAGATGAGAGGTCTAACAGGAATGTACAGGTTCAGGGGGGAAGGGTAGCAGAGGATCCTCCAGTCAACGAAAAGGCCAGCGCCAAAGATGTAAGTTCTACACCAACGAGCTACCTTCTCACTAATCCTACAAATTCTGGAGGGTGTGGACTTACACAATTCCAGTGTAGCTGGTGGGGAAGCAAATCCTATAATAACCACAGGCCCCACAGTGACAAGAAATTTTTGAAAACACTGACTCAAAAAAGCCTTTGGCAGTAATAGCTCAAATCTTCCTTCGGGAAATAGTGCAAGCAATTACATTTAGTTGTAGACTTGCTCACCAAGCTGATGTGTTTGATTGCAGATGTTTCATCACCCTGCTCGGTAACATCGTCAGTGCACCTCCAGTGAAGCGTTGTGCAATCAAACACAATGGCTCAGCAAGCAAGTCTACAATCTCATCTACAACCCGAGCTAGAAATCTTCTCAAAAACGGTGAATCACATTTAGTCTTCAGCTCTGTTTCTTTTGGAATTCCACAAGTTTCACATTTGAGAATGGCAGAATACCAGCTGACCCCAAGGAATTTCATGGCCTACAAATTCATTGTCAAAATTTATCTTAATATTCAGGTTGTCGCTTTTTGATTAATTTCCCTATGAGGAGCTAAATATTCAAATTTCTACTTCAGGAATGTATTATGTTATTTTTCTTCTTCTTGTTAAGTATACTTGCTTAAATTTGGACATAATTTTATGTGATA